AGTGATATTGACTTTGCTGCCTCTGCCACTGGATTCCGGGTTCAAAGGCAAGGATTGAGCCAAGCCCAGTTTCGATCCCCTTGACCTAACTCAATATATTTTTAACAAATAGATGGGTGAATAAAAGCACAAATGGACAAAACAGATGGGAAGCCTTTGAGCTGCTGTCAGTCAAGAGGCACCTCATAGATGAGAACAGATTTTATTAAGGAGAAAATATGGGGGTTCTAAAAGTACTGGAGTCATAACGAGGACAAGCATCTTCCTCTTTTTTGTTGATTGCTTTATCCCCAGGGCTTCTTGAAGTACCTTGCATACAGCGGGCCTTAGTAATTACTTCTTATATGAATGAACGAATAAATGGTCTCACTTGGCCACTCTTCATAATAGTTTCTGTGAAGAGCCCTCAGATTACTATCACTATGTAGGATTCAAGCTTGTTTTGAAGAGACATCAGTTCTTTTTGGTACAGTGTTTTACATATCACTGCCTTTCGGTGAAGTGTCCACATGATAATGAACAGTGCTCTCCTTTCTCAAGATCTCAACCTTATCTGCCACTGAAGGCACATTCTACTTGTGGAAAATATTAGAAATAATAGAAACCCAAGTCTGAGCCTCCTTGAGAAGCTTGTAGAACAGTGGCCTGTCATGTGTCACACATCCTCATTTTTTTCTGTTTCCATCAGAGTTGGCCTGCTGGGTATAGAGAGAACTGCCTCCTTAAGAATGATAATGGCTATAGATGGGCAAGGTCTTGCTGTGGGAATAACGTCCATGAGTCCATATTTTCCAACATCTCTCATTATGGAGGTGTCATAGTCAATACAGTGGAGACACCATAATGATAGACTCTTCTCTTCCATTGGGACTTCACAGGCACCACATTTGCATGCTAAGTATATTTTAATTGAGGGGAAAATAAAGGAAGCAGCACACAGTATTTAATGAGTACACCTTAATGGGTCCACCCTTGGATTCATCTGGGATGATGAGCAGAACAATACTCCTTAAACAGAAGGCCTGACTCTTTTTGGTACCTCTCTTCATGTGAAAACATTAGTCTCATTTGACCAGCGTGGAAAAGCAAATACTCTTGCAAGAAAGACAGCTGCCAGCCAGAGGGGACCTCCTAATCTGCCATCATTTTGGATTAACTGGATTGAAAAGCAGCTGTACAAAACACTATGTTAGATGAAAGGGAGCTCCACACCAAACCCCAGAGCTAGCCTGTCTCTGCTCCCCACTCAATGAACATAATAAGTCAGACATCGCCATGATGACAAGTATGTGTCCAAAGGACTCAGCTTCCATGACAGGATGGATTTGAGCTCTCTAGGGGAAGTCAAGGATGCTTATGTATCATTTGCTTTTCATCAATGCTAAAAGCATTTTCTATTGTTACAGGCCAGATGAGACAGGACAAAGAAAAGTTTGTTGGCTCAGTAGGAAACCTCCTAAGGGGCAGAAAGTAGCTGAATTACTGAGCCATCAGTGGGTAACCTGAGGGAACAGTTACATGTGGCTCATCTGCTGTCTTTTCCATTTTAAGGAATCTTGGGGGGTGGGGGAAGGATTAGAGGCATCCCATTCAGTTAAAATATTACATAATAAAGATAGAAGGCACTGTGTTCCCCAAACCTTGGCAACACTGGAGTGTGGTGCCAACCTTCCGTTTCTGTGGACACGTCACCAGATTTACAGGGAGCAATCATCAGCACAATCAGACACTCTTCTCTTCACCTGCCATTGTCCAGTGCTTCTCCAGGGAAAAATTTCACCTCTGCATTCATTATCCTTCACTGTTGTTGAGAATACAAATGAGCCATAATTCAACTTTTTGTGAGCCATATATCAGATGTGAACTTGAAAGAATAATAATAATAGCTAAGTTCATGGAGGAATTACTGTGAGCCATGTATCATTCTAAGACTTTACATGTGTTACCTCATTAATCTTCACAATAACCCTATGACTGAGGGTGCTATTATTATCTGCTTTGCAGATGAGGAAACTGAGGCATAGAGACGTTAAGTAACTTGCCAATGGTAACACTAGCTACTTAATGGCGGAGCAGGGATTTATTTGAACCTAGGCACTCTTGATCCAGAACTCACGTTCTAATCTCAACGGTTAAACTGCCTTCCTAAAATAATACAGACAAGAGAAAAGTCAGTTCACACAAAACTCAAGTGATTTTAAACACAGCTTTACAAGTATGTCTTAGCTCAATGCTATTGCCCCTTGAACTTTTAAGACTAGAAGGGCACTACTGAACTAAATACCAGTATTCCGAAGACCTGGTTTCTAAAAAGTCAAGTAAGTTTTCCTAGAGCATAGCTGAGCAATCACTGAATCACAAGGTTGAAGGGGACCCTGGGAAGCCATTTCTTCACAGTCCTTAAGAAAACAAGATGTAGGCAAAGAAGGATAGAGGTAGAAAATAAAATGACTCTTGAAGTTTCAGATGGCCAGTGGGAGGTGGACGTGAAGAACAGTCATTGGAGCTGGCAGTAGTGGAACGGCACCCAAATATTTTCAATTTAAGTGGCAGCTTAGCAGCTATTTGAAGGAAATATGTTAGCATTTCCTTTACCTTAAAGAGCATATAGTACTACTAACAGTAATAATAATGATGACAGTTAACCTTTATGGACTGCTTATTATATGCCAAGCATTGTGCTAAGCATTTTATTTAATCTCCACAGAAATCCTATGAAGTAGATACTATACCTATCTATCCCCATTTTACAGATGAAGAAACTGAGGTACAGAAAAGTCAAGTAACTTGTGCAAGGTCACATAGCTAGCAAGTGGTAGAGCAAAGATTCAAACCCAAGTGCAGTCCATCTTTGAGGCTTGTGTTGTTAAATACTAAGCAAGGTACTGTCTCTGCAGAAATAGCCCTCTGAGCTACTGTTAAGAAAATCTACCCCAATTTTTTAGGCCTATTATTGACCCCAGTGCAAGCTCTGAGCCTGTAATGATGGCTTGGATGACTTTTTACTCTCAGTGTTAGGCCTTTTTTGCTCTACATTATAGACGGGTGGCTAAGCATTGAAGAGTACTTTGTGAACATAGATTTATGTTTAGATGTGATAATTTCCAAACAATATGATATAAGCTAACATTTAGTCTCCTGGCATTAGAGCAGATCTGGCCTCAAGATTTTTCCTGGAACATATACCCATATAGTTCAGATTTCCATAAACTGACACTATTTAAGCCAAACCAGATTGTCTGGTCACTCTAGACTATAAGAGATTGTGACTTGGGACCACTCTATATGGAGCTATAAAATAATATAGAATATTTTGGTTTAAATTTTATTATAATGAAATAACGAAGAAAAGCTGAAAAGCCCATTTAGAAATGTCTATAAGAAATATATTAATAATGATCTTTAAGGTATTTTAATAGCCAACATGTTTGAGCACTAACTATGTGCCAGGCATTGTGCTGAGCACAATTTAATTCTCACAACAAGCTTCAGGTTAGGTACTATTAGTTTGATTTTATGAATGAGGAAATTGAGTCTCATAGAAGATATTTAACTATCCAAGATGAAGTAGTGAAAGAAATAGGCTTGGAAGTCAGCCAGATTGACTCCAGAGTCTGAGCTCTTAACCACTATTAATAAGGGCTCCTGTCATAACACCCGCTGATCCCAGATTGGCCCCACTAGTCATTTAAAACCGAAGGAGATCCATGGTCCAATCATTCTAGCCCTCAAAGGATCCCTGGTTGCTCATTTCAATTATTGTTGGTGTAATGGAGTAGGATGCAGTCTAGTCGACTGCAGTCCATAGTATAAGTTACAGTGTGGTGGGACAGTTTTTTGCCTTTGCCACATATAGAATCCCAGCTCCTTTTTTCTCCACCCATTTCTCATTCATGTATCATTTTTTCTTTATGTTTCGCTGCTTTTATGCTTCTTTCCTAGTTTTCAACGTAATAACATTTCTTAATTTATTATTAAGTATCATTGCTTACCCTACCTCACCCCCATTATAACACAGAAGGATTCAAAATCTGGGCTGGAATTGTGAAATTATTTTTTGGGGGGTGGGGTTAGCTAATTATATAAATGAATGGCACAACAAAGTAGCATCACCCTAGATCTGTTTCTCATCTTTAATGTGCTTGTGAATAACCTGGGGATCACGTTAAAATGTAGCTTCTGATTCAGTACATCTGACTTGTGGCCTGAGATTCTGGGATTCTTAACTCCCAGGTTATGCAGACCACATTTGAGTAGCGAGGTCCTGGATTGGCCTGGTCCTGTCATGCTTTTAAGTAGGATCACAATTAAATGAACATTAATTAAATGGTTTAGGATATTTAAAAAGCAGCCCAGGTTTCCTGAGATGGCAATTCCCTAATGTCTTCACAAACTTATTTTAATGTTTTATAGCTTTGACACTACAGGAAGCTTTTTTTTGTGTCTAAACTAAACCTTTCAGATGCTGTGACATTTTTCTTCTAATTTTATCTTTAGCGAAAATATATTTGGTACACCGTGCCCATTCTCTTACAGGTTACATTGTTTAAAAAAATATGAACAGTTATTCAATGTTAACAATAGTCTTTGAGATGTTCCCCACCATCTCCGTTCCTCCCCTTTAGGAATCTAAGATTTTGGGGATGTCTAAGTCAGTTCTCATTCCAGCTGCTGTTTATTTGCCTCCTCTAAGAAATCTATAAAACTGGACAAGCTTTGTAATTCCTTGCCAAATTCTGTTGCCTCTTATTTCAATGAGCTATTTAAATGTTCAATGACCATATCCCGCATCAGATATACCCCCAGCTTGCTCATAGTGCAATAGGAAGTATACTAGTAACTACTGGCCACCCAGTCCATAAAGCTCGTATTACAAAAACGCACACTCTAGGCAGAATCTGGTAAATGTCAACTTCAAAATAAATTGTGTCATACTGTTATATTTATTACCACATGGTCAATAAAAAGAAACACTTGTGAGTTGATTAAAAATAGCATACCAGGTAAAATTGGTTGTCCAGCAATTCCCAGCGGTGTCATTCCAAGATTATTCATTGCTGTGGCCCATGCAGTTGGATCAGACATAGGTAGTGTCATTGCAGTGGAATCCACATTCAGAGTTCTACTATTATCAGCTAAAAAGAAATGACAAGCAAAATAATTTTTTCTATTAAGATTTCAGTATCTAGTTTACTTATCAAGGGAAACTCTGGTAAACTCTTTACAGATTTGGACTGATGGACAAGTGGTGGATAGGGCCTTAATTCCAGCTCTTTACAAGGGTTAAAACAATATACTTGAACTGGTAGGAAGTCATAGAATTTGAAAGCAGTTTACCATATGGCATTTTAGTGTGTTTCTTTCTCTCTTTCTCTTTCTCCCTCTCTCTCTCTCTCCCCATGCTCTCCCCTCCCTCCATTCCTTCCCTCTTGTTTTTTTTTTTATGAAGACTTTTTTTTTAAGAGGATTTTTAGGTTCACAGTAAAATGGAGGGGAAGGTACAGAGATTTCACATATACACCCTGCTCCCACACATGCGTAGCCTCCCCCATTAACAACATCCTCCACCAGAGTGGTACATTTGTTACAACTGATGAACCTACATTGACACATTGTAATCACTCAAAAGCCATCCTTTACATTAGGGTTCACTCTTGGTGTTGTATATTCCACGGGTTTGGACAAATGTATAATGACATGTATACATCATTATGCTATCAGAGAGAGTATTTTTGCTACCCTAAAAATCTTCTGTGCTCTGCTTATTCATCCCTCCCAGCGCTCTAACCCCTGATCTTTTTACTCTCTCTATAGTTTTGCCTTTTATAGAATGTCATATAGTTGGATTCGTACAATAGGCAGCCTTTTCAGACTGGCTATTTTCACTTAGTAATATGCATTTAAGGTTCCTCCATGTCTTTTCATGGCTGATAACTCATTTCCTTTTAGTTCTGAAAAATATTCCATTGTTTGGATGTACAACAGTTTATTTATCTGTTCACCTACTGAAGGACATCTTGATCGCTTCCAAATTTTGTCAATTATGAATAAAACTGCTATAAACACCCTTGTGCACATTTTTGTGTGGACATAAGTTTTTTAACTCCTTTGGGTAAATGCCACGCCGCACAATCACTGGATCATATAGTAAGAGCATATTTAGTTTTGTAAGAAACCGTCAATCTGTCTTCCAAAGTGGCTGTACCATTTTGCATTCCTACTAGCAATGAATGAGATTTCCTGTTGCTCCACATCCTCACCAGCATTTGTGTTGTCAGTGTTTTGGATTCTGGCCATTCCAATAGGTGTGTAGTGGTATTTCATTGTTGTTTTAATTGCATTGCCCTGATGACATAGTATGTGGAGAATCTTTTCATATGCTTATTTGCCATCTGTATATTTTCTTTGGTGAGATGTCTATTAAAGTCTTTGGCCCATTTTTTAATCAGGTTTTCTGTTTTCTCATTGTTGAGTTTTAAGAGTTCTTTGTGCATTTTAGCTAACAGTCCTTTATCAGATGTGTATTTTGCAAATACTTTCTCTCAGTCTGTGGCTTGTCTTCTCATTCTCTTGACATTGTCTTTTGTAGAGCAGAAGATTTTAATTGTAATGAAGTCTAACTTATCAATAATTTCTTTCATGGACATGTCTTTGGTGCTGTATTTAAAAAGTCATCATCATATTCAAGGTCATCTAAGTTTCCTCATGTTATCTTCTAGGAGTTTTATAATTTTATATTTCACATTAGGTCTATGATTCACTTTGAGTTAATTTTTGTGATGGGTATGAGATCTGTGTCTAGATTGCTTTTTTTGCATGTGGATGTCCAGTTGTTCTGGCACATCTGTTGAAGAGACTATCTTGCTACATTGTATTGCATTTGCTCCTTTGTCAAAGATCAGTTGACTGTATTTTTGAGGGTCTATTTCTGGGCCCTCTCTTCTATTCCATTGATCTATTTGTCTATTCTTTCACCAATACCACATTGTCTTGATTACTGTAGTTTTGTAGTAAGTCTTGAAGTTGGGTAGCATCATTCTTCCAACTTTGTTCTCATTCAATATTGTGCTGGCTATTCTGGCTCTATTGTCTCTTCATATAAACTTTGGAATCAGTTTGTTGATATCCACAAAATTGCTTGCTTGGATTTTGATTGGAATTGCATTGAATCAACTTGGGAGGAACTGACATCTTGACAATATTGAGTCTTCCTATGAATAAACATGAAATATCTCTCCATTTATTTGGTTCTTTGATTTTGTTCATCAGAGTTTTCTGGATTTTTTTCAAGCATACACACCACAGGAGCTTGGGATGATTAAGAGGTTTCCCATTCTTGTCATCGTCTAGTTGTATATGATTACTTCAGCAGCATCCATCCATACTACTCATGCATGAAAACCAAGACAAAACATCCAAGGGTTTCCAGAGTAGCAATAAAAATTATATTCCTGATGCAATTTCCTATCTTTGAGGCAATAATATTGAATAGAGCTGGACACACAATCAAGAGACATCAAATTAGCCAATTGAGTATTTTGGGGGCTTACAGGGACACCAGAGAATAAGTAGATAGGAGACATAGTCTCTGCCTTCAAAGGTTATATAATCTAATTGAAGAGACCAATGATCATGGTGATGATTATTACTATTATCACTAATTATTGTACACATCATATGCTAGGTAAAGCACCTGGCATACATTAGAACCATTAAACTTTCAAAACAACCCTATAAGATAGGGACTATTTATATCTCCATTTAACAGATGAGAGGCTTTGAAAGGTCATATATATTGCCCAAGATAACATTAAGATGTGTACTTTTAGCCACTATGCTTTACTATCTCCAACTAAACAATTAGGAAACAATGAAAGACTTGAATGGTATAGACAAGAAATTTTACTGAAGTTTAAGGAATGAAGAACTATTGTGGCTTGAGTAGGTGGGGTAGGTGGGAAATGCTTTATCGAAAAGATAGGATTTGAAGGAATGGGCCAGATTTCTATACAACATGTCTTGAGTGATGGGTAGCTATTATATAGGTAAAGAAGAGGGGAAAAAACATTTCAGAAGTAGGGATAACATAAGCAAAGACATTGAAGTGGGTTATATATGCATGTGAATGTATATACTGCACAGTTGGGAGAGAGGTAGTCATAAGTCATCTGAACACAAAGAGACTTTTATTTGGGGAAATTTCCCTCTGACTACTAATTTCCATAGGAAAAACTTTCCATGGCTTTTCCCCTACCTCCCAGTAGGTACTCCTGCCAATTATACCTCCAAAGGCAACTCTGTTCTAATAGTAGCTTGCTAACGTCTATCACATCCTTCCAACCTGGCAACATCAGGGATGATCCTTGGCTGAGTTACTTATACAAGTGCTATTTTGGTCACTGATTGGTCAGAACAAGCAAATGCAAATGTCCAAAAGCATTACTTTTGAAATATTAGTTTTTATTATTTTTCTATGCTGCCTACGCCTCCTCTCCATAAACCACACACACAGACACCCTCCCTCACCACACACACAGAGTGATTGATGGCCCTCAGCATTCGTTACTGCAGTCAGAAGTCACATTTCAGAACTGGTGATTTTTCCATCTGTAGGAACTCTAGTTCTCACATCCAGTTTTCAGTGCACTCCCATGAAGGCATATTAGAAGGCTAGAAATAGACTGCTTGTAAATATTATCAAGAAAACAAATATGGGGCATCAAATATCCTTTGGGTTAAGAGTTTATATAGTGATTATTAGGGTCATCGGAACTCCCAATCTCCAGCCAAGGGAGACAAGATTTAGGAAATGCCTTAGCTGGAAGGGACCTTTAGAGATCACTGAGTCTGCACTCTGATTTTCTCTAGTGGCTGGAGAATGATTCCCAGAGGAAACAGCTAGGTTTAGAAGGACTGGGCCCCAATGCCAAAACTAATTTCTTACAATGGCTTGGCTACTCATTGACTCTGCAGTCCTGGGAAATATAAGAGAATCAGGAATTATTCTCAATAAAGAATTCCGAGATCAAAGAATGAGAATTTACAATGTACCAACCTAGCCAAACCCTGGACTAATTTTGCGGGGAGGGGAGAGAATTATCTAAATTATCAATTTTTTTAAAGGATAGCAGAGTATTACTATTTTCAAAATAGATATTAATTCAAATTGCCTGTAAAAATGTTAGCAGGTAGAGTTCCTGCTAGGCTTGTTTACATGAACAGATAAGGACAATGTGTAATTAACAGCATTATTTTGCTACAATGAATTTGGTTCTTAAATTCTTAAGGAGTTCTGCCTTCTCATGTCCCTTCCCTCCTCCACCACCCATCTCCACCTGTCAAATCCTACTCATTTTTCAAGGGTCATCTCAAATGCCACCTTGTAGGTGAAGCCACCTCATTGGAATTAATTACTCTCTTCTATGTGTTATCATAACACTTTATCCAGAATTCGATTTTTATATGTTTGCTTATTCTCTCACTCCTTTTCCCCAAACCAAACTTTTATTGTCTTACTATACACCAAGTTGTGTGCTAGTGACTAGGAATACAGAGATGAACCAAACTCACTTGCTGCTCCAGAAGAACTCAAAACACAGTGAGCGGCATGACACGTAAACAACCAAATACAAATTATTGTAATAAGTACTGTAATAAAACTATGAGTAAAGTGCTATTGGAACAGAGAAGGAGTAATTAAATCTGTGGGAATGGGTTTGGATGTATGTGCTTGGGGTGGGGGGGTAGGGGGATGAGAAATGCCAGGGAACCCTTCACCAGGAAAGAATCATTTGAAATGGGACTTTAAGGAGAAACAGGATTTTCCTCCACATAGTAAATGGAGGAATAGGGTTGAAAAGCATTCCAGGAGGCAAGAACAAGCGAACATTTACCATTGACTGCCTTGAATTACAGTTATTGGAGACATGTCTCTCTTCTGCTAGCCTGCATGCTCCTTTAGGTCAGGGACTGGGTTTTAGGTATCTTTCTTTCTCCATTTCTTAGTTCAGTGTCTGGTATAAAGTAGGTATTCAAGAAATATTTGAATGAATGAATAAAGAAAATCAACTTATATTGATTTGGGGCACAATAAGCAATCTAGGCAATGACAATCATTGATTATTTGTATACCTTT